CTTGCTCCCGGGCACGAATCCAGGAAGTACCTACCTGGGCGGATCGATCCAAGCCGAAGCCAGCGGCGCCGCCACCAGAGGTAACGCAGGTATCATTGCCAGAGCATAGGGAAGACCCCAGGGTAGCTAAGTTGATCCAAGAGAATGCTTGCCTTAAGGCAGAGATTCAACAGCTGAGGGCTGACCTTGAGTCGTTCCGCAAACATTACTCCTCGCAGGGCGAGAGACAACAGATTCCCCCACCAGGGGACGTGCAGGCGCGCTCGGAAAAACGTAGGGCCTCACCCCCCCCAAGGGGAGTGGGATGCTATGGAGACAGAATCCAACAGCAAGGCTCTGGAAAGCATGCAGCAATCGATTAAACAACTAGCTGATAGCATGACTACCCTACTGAAAAGGGTGTCGTCTCTTGAAGGTACACAGGCAGCGCTAGCTACGGGTAGCTCGCCTCCGAAAGGCCCGAACAGGGCCCAGTCGCCTGCAGGCGCGGTAGCAGTCAACCCGACAGGAGATTGGCTGTCTCAGAACAGTAATTATGGCGGACAACACTAATGAACTGGTCGTGTGGCAGTGGAACTGTGCCTGCTTCAAAAGGCGCAGGGCTCCACTGCTGCACTTTATTGCTTCTCAGGCAGTCAAGCCGCACGTAATTACGTTACAGGAAACTCTCGGTGATGCGCTAACTTTCCCGGGCTATCGAGTCGTCTCGGTGCGCGAGAAAGGGAAGCGCGGTTTGGCAACCTTGGTCGCAAAAAAGTGCTCCTTTCATGAACACAAACTACAGCTTGGCAACAGCAAGGCTGAGGTCATTATCCTCGAAATAATCCCCAACAGCTGGCTTAAGAACAGCGTATTCCTCATGAATGTGTACAGCTCGCCGTCGGACAAGCGGCAGGGGTTCGCTTCGATCATGGCAAAAGCGGTGGCTCTGGCCAGGGGGGCCCCATCGTGGTAGCGGGAGACTTTAATGCTCCGCACGACGCTTGGGGATACGCAGGGCATCCCCCAAAGGCAACAACCTCCTAAAGGCCGTATCTAGCTGTTCTCTTGAATTGATTACGGACCCGCAATACCCGACAAGAATTGGCACATCGGTGGTCCGAGACACAACTCCAGACTTGGCGTTCGTCAAAAACGTCGCCGGAACAGGGTGGCAAAATTTGCAAGAGAATCTAGGTAGCGACCACTTCATAGTGGCTATTACCCTAGCAGTCAATGCAGCTCCCCCCAGGGAATTTAAAGTAACGGACTGGGAAGCCTTTCGTAAATTGCGGAAGGAGGACCAGGATGAATACGACAGCTTAGACAGCCTCTTTGCAAGGCTCAAGGAGGATGCTAATGCTGCGACCAAGGTTGTCAAAACGAACCTGAGGGTTGATCGGATGGATGCATGCCTCGCGCATCTCTTAGAGGCTAAGAATTCCATCCTGTCCTGGTGGAGGACGCAAAGGCTCAATCGCAGACTTCAAAAGAAAATTGCGCAACTCAATCGCGAGATCGAAGCCTACTCTATTGAACTCTCCAAACAGCAGTGGAATGAAGTATGTTTTTCGGTTGACGGACAGATGAGAGTGGGGGCCAAATGGAACCTCCTCAAACAATTGCTTGATGAGTCACAGTCGAAGGGAAATCAGCGATTAGCTATTGACAGAATCGTTCACAACCAAAAAGCGAAGGGAGTGTCCGGAAAGGACCTCCTGAAGAGGTTAGCGGACAGCTATCTTCCGCTGGGCCCTTCCGGCGATGCGGACTATCCGCATTACAGGGGTGGAATGGTGGCGGAGCTGGACGCACCTTTCACTGAACCAGAAATCTGGAAGGTCCTCCACGAGCTCAACGGGCGCTCTGCACCGGGCCCGGATGGAATCTCAAATAAGCTCTTACGTAACTTGGATGGCAAATCCATCCCGAAGCTTACCGAGGAAGTCGACAAAATCTGGGAGACGGTGCACGTACCCGAATCCAGGAAGACAGCTTCGGTAGCGCTCATCCCAAAGCCAGGCAAACCTCTGGCTTTGGAGAACATGCGACCCATCTCGCTTACGTCCTGCGTAGACAAAGTGGCCGAACATGCGATTCACCACCGGGCATCCGAGTACATAGAAAGCAGAGAGCTATTTCCACACAATATGGTAGGATTCAGACCTGCACTATCCACACAGGACGTGATGCTCCTTATCAAAAGACAAATCATTGACAACAACACCAGGGATACTAGAGGCATACTAGCTCTAGACCTAGCCAAAGCTTTTGATATCTCGCACAAGTTTGTGCTTGAGGCAATTTCTGTTATGGGTCTAGGACAACGGTTCCACGCATACGTTAGGTCTTTTCTCAGGGATCGCAGGGCTACCATTAGGATCGGTCAAATCCAATCCACGGAATTTACCTTGGGAGCGAGAGGCACTCCACAGGGGGCAGTATATACTCTTCAATATTGCCATGAAGGGCCTCTCTGAGCGACTCGCTACGGTGCGCGGGGTTAACCATGCTCTCTACGCGGACGATATCACCGTGTGGTGCATGGGAGGGTCTGACGCTGGGGTAGAGCAGGCGCTTCAAGAGGCATTAGACATCATGGAGAACTTTCTAGTCGGTTCGGGCCTCAGCCTGTCATCGGCAAAGTCTGAGTTACTACTATACAGACCCACCCGACAAGGACTGAGGAACCTCACTCCTTTAGAACAGATTCCCATAGCTTTATACACACGGGATGGGCAGAAAATACCCAGGGTGGACTCCATCAGGGTCCTCGGACTCCTGCTAGAGTCCAAGGGGGGCAACTCACAAACTATAGCCCGCATCACCTCCAAGACGGAGAACATGCTTAGGCTCATACTCAGGGTCTGGAACCGCAGGGGTGGGCTGAGCGAGAGCAATCTCCTTCGGCTCTCTCATGCATTTCTCATGAGCCACATTAATTATGTCGCTTCGGCGTTGCGCTGGTTCAAAAGAGAAGAGGCAAGAATTGATACACTAATCCGCAAAAGCATAAAACGAGTGCTAGGCTTGCCTATCCACACTAGCACCGAGAAGCTCCTACAATTGGGCATGCATAACTCCCTCTCGGAGGTGATCGAGGCCCAGCAGATGGCTCAGGTCATGCGACTATCGTCCTCGAGGGCTGGTAGGCGCATCCTGGAATCCATAGGCTGCGGTCCTACGGCGACTAACCAGCGTAGTGTAACACTACCACCCTCGATCAGAGGCACGTTTTCGGTAGCTCCACTTCCAAGAAATGTCCACCCACAATACAATGTAGGGCGCCGCATAGCTCGGGCCCGTTTCTTATTAAAATCAGTTGCAAACAGACCGCATCTCGCGACCTTTGTCGATGCAGCCCAGTACGGGCGTTCGGATCGTTTCGCAGTGGTCTCGGTCGATCATAGTGGCACACTCCTATGCTCTGCCTCGGTTAGAAAGGTTTCGGCAATGGTGGCTGAGCAAATCGCCATCGCCATAGCAATGAAGGACCCATCGCGTCCTAATGTTTTTACAGATTCGCGTTCCGCAGCTTGGGCTTTCGCCTCCGGCTCGATCTCGCGTGAGGCAGCGGCCATCCTCGGCTGTGAGGGGGCTGCCGGGTTTCACACCATAACATGGTTCCCGGCCCACATGGGGGCCAACGTACATCCTGATGTCTCCAACGCCAATGAGTTGTCCCCAACGCCATGACCGTGCGCGAGGTATCGCTCACCGCGGCAGTCCCGGCAGATTCGCAGGCGGGGACGCCGGAAGAGACAGGGACTCGCTACTCACTTTCCACGAGATCATGACTCATTATCATCTATCTCGGAGGGCTTTTCCACTTCCTCATCCTAAACTTACGCGGCCGGAATCATCGGCCTACAGGATGCTCCAAACGGGGTCTTTCCCTTCGCGAGGCAGGTTGTCATTTTTCGCCCAACATCGAGCCGCATTGTCCGGACTGCGGAGAGGCGTATTGCTCATTACCTAATATGCTCTGGCAATGTCCTGCGTTACGTGACGCAGAGTTCAACAAAGAAGAGGACTGGGAGGAAGCCCTTAACAGCGGCGACCTCTTGGTTCAACTTCGGGCTGTCCAGAGGGCCTGCGAGAGGGCGGAGGGCCACGGTCTTCCGGTTCCTACGTGGGGGCGGCCCGCGACTGCTACGGATTCCCCCTAAACGGGGCCGTTACAACGCAGTTCCTCAGGACCTGAATAAAGTTCTTCGTCTGTCTGTCTGTTTCGTTTTCACCGTATTCAGTGCTGGCCATATCGGCATAATTTCGACTCGATTTCATAGACTAGAGCCGACATTGTCTGTAGAGACCAGATTCATTGTGACATGGTGTTAGCTTGAGCTATTGCATGTACCCGTCGTTATACTAACAAAAATTTGTCACATTTGAATCCATGAGTACTGTGCCTAGCAAATAATCAGGATATTGATGTGACTTATGGTGTTTATGCTGATGGCTCATAGAATAAGTTGTTCAACTTCTCTGTGCCATCCCCAGTGACACTAAATTCTTGCACGACAAGGGGTGAGTGCCAGTGAGCTTTTCCTACAGAGTTAATGGATGAGATGCAAAAGTACCACCAACACTGTAGAAAGCCCCGAAATGCTCAAGCATCTCTGGGCTAAGCCGCCAGTGTGCATGAAAACAAATAATTAATAAGAAAAAAACAAGAATGCTGCACCCATGCGAGTGAAAGGAACTATGAACGTGACAAACATTTTACTTTGATATGAACATTTTGTGTGGTCCAGGTGGTGTATGCATGCCGCTCAAATACAGGGGACTGCTCATGCATAATAGCGGCCATTGGCTCTTTCCTGTATATACGCACGGATACAAATTCTTTTTTGCCACTCGTCTATTTTGTATGATGATGACAAAATATGAGGAAGCAATCAAACAATGAATTGACACCTTTGTTTATCAGGATTTCTTGTGAATAAATGTGTGTGATGCCACAGTATGACTGTATTGGGTCGTGTGCTACAGTATGTTCCTGCATTCGTCTGGTGCAGGTGCAAGGAAAAAAGGCTTGAAAAGGCCCATCAAAGAAGAACTGGTCTACTCGGAAATAATCTTCAGCTGTGCAAATGGGGGCCGAAAGTACACATCCAAATCCACAGGGGCACGTCCTAACCAGAGGTGGGGAAATCGCCTATCTTTTTATTTATTTTTTTTTCTATAACCTGTTCACTGTACAGATATAAGCTATGCTCGTAAGCTTTGGTGTGTTTTGCCTTACTTACTATAGAGTTCTAAAAATAGTGTGCCAAAGTACATGCAGCTCATTTTAGAATATAGAGAATGTTGTGTTAAAAAAAATAAAACTTGGAGAAAAGTTTGAAAAGGTATTCAAAGATGAAGCAGGTCAATGCTAAGCACTATTTCTTTGCTCTACATGCATTGTTTGTGTCAGATACAGCAATTGTCACAAAAGTGTTTTAATGCCTCAAGTTGGCAAGAATAATACTGTTGCCAATTGAAGGCAGATACCATTTGAAAACTTTGTATTCATTATTATGGCTGTTTTATTTTCAACATTTATATATTCATGAGAATTAACTCTGATTGCTTTAAAGAAGTGGGGTGGAGTGTCCTGAATGGAATAATAAAGGATTTTTCATAAACGCTAATTGGATTGTGGAGCTGGGTCACCAGTGGGAAGTGGGAATTTGTAAATCTTCTAGGTACTTCTGAACAATTTAGTTTTTTTCCCTTTATATACCCTTCATTTTTCAACACGCCCCAACCCTGACTGAGGCTAGCACATGACTGTGCTTTTCATCAGTGGCAAATGCCAACACAGTGTAGTGTTTACGTTGTTGAAATCAGCCTTGCATGTTTACTAGTCAGTAATTGCAGTTCTCATTGCATCATGCTGTATGAAATAGAACAAGAATGTTATATATGTATGGCACCATTAAGACTGGTGAGTCATAAAAAAATTTGCATGTGAAGGCACATACACTATTCAACAGGTGAAGCCGTGCAAGAAACCAGGATATGAGTCTTGTATCTCCCTTTTGGCCATGAATTTCGCGATGATTTGACAATCAATATATATTGAATTTTTGAAAATGTATAGGGACCCCTAAACCACCCAGAAGTGTAAATGTAGTTGTAGTGGGGAAGTTGTGCACGAGTCCACAATCAACACATAGCCTTGTGAATTTTCCGAAACGGTGCCTAATAGCGGAGTAATTGAATGTAGTGATCACTCATTTTGCTCTTTCCTTCGCTACTGTCCGCTGGTCTTCTCTTACAAAGCTGCTTTGCCCTCCTTGCTGAGTGCTCCTCTCAGTCTCATGTGGCTTACGTCACTGCTGACGCGCTATTCAAAGCATTGTCTACTTCCGGCTGCCATGACTTCATCAACTCCATGTTTGTCGGGCACCTATTGCTCTTACGAATCATGCTGGTATGGACCCTGTGTTGTGCGTATGCCTTCCAAGGATCGCCAGCATGATGGATCTCTATGATGACATGCCGTGCCTAAGCACTTTGACGTGAGATGAGAAGTGCGAACAGTTGCTTGTAGACCAACTGGAAGATATAGGTCCTTGTTTGACAAATTGCAGCCTGACTTGTGCTTCGCATCACAGATTCAACTTCATGACACTGTGCGCATCACTATGGAGGCCAAAAGGGCTCCGAGAGAAGAAATTCTTTCTTGAAATTTGTGGTATGCCCGCAGCTTGTAGCGCTGCCACGTGTGGCATCGTTGACCATGGTGAAATTCTGCACATGATGTGCTAGTTTACTTGAAATGTTCTAAAAAAAGATTGGAAGTTGTTTAGGGGCCCTTTAAAGTGCATAGCTCAACAAGGCTCTTAGTCTAATTATTTCCTTGCTTGTTAGAATGAGTATTGTACATGTGGTCTATTTTCAGCACAGTTTGCTCACATTTTTCTCCATGTTGTGACCTGCTTACAGGCAGCAATGTTTCTCAAGAGTAGACACACTAAAATTAATTTGACTTCCCAGTTATTCAGGTTCTGGAAACAGCATTTCAAGGTCATTGAAAGTGTGCTGTGTGCATATCAACTTATTGTGAGCATTACATACCATTGCTTTTACTGTTGCTGTTCGTGACAGTGTTACTATGGAGGTCGCCTATTGTCTGTAAGGGATTGGAATGGGTTATTATTAGTATGTGCATTAAAGCATATTTGAATTTAATAATATAAGTCACCTTTTGGCATTCCCACACCATCTCCTGATTGCTCATTGCAGGACATTCAAGATTGGCTGCACAGCCAGAATAAAGGTGGTGGCTTCTGCAGATGGCAACTTTCTGGAGGTCAAGCTTCTCGATGATGTCCATAACCATCCTGTCAGTGAGGTCAGTGCCATCTAGTCACGCACACTTCTGGTAGTGTCTTATTTATAAGAGCTAGGAGAATGCAAAAAGCTTGGTACATGAATCGAGCGCACTCTTTTTTCTAATTTCCTAGAAACAAGACTTTTATACATTAATATCACTAATACATACCAATATATTAGTGTGTTTAGGAGCAAGAAAAGAGTGCATTTATGAAAAAAAAAATTTCTAGCATTCTAACATTTAAACTAGGGCTCTGCCTTTTCTTTTTTTAATATATATATATATATATATATATATATATATACATATATGTATATCAACATAATCAGGCAAAGCAAACGACTAACTTCAATTTTCACGGAGGCACCTCACATGGTGTGCCGCAGGGATAAAAACCTGAAGGACATTTTTGTCAGAGCAAAAACAAACCCCTCCGAAATTCAACCAGGGTACCATCCCTGCAGAAAAACTCGCTGCAAGGTATGCCCACAGGTGGTCACAACACATGAATCAAAAGCGAAATTTTCGGACTTAAAATTTTGCATAACTTAAAGCCTTAAGTGTGACTCCAGTAACGTAATATACATGCTATATTGCAACATCTGCGGGCAAGAATATATAAGCCAAACAGACATGCTATTTCAACTGCAGTTCAATAATCGCTGGTACCACGCCACTTCCCTGCCGAAGCTACCTTTGTCTAGACATCTGCGCCTGCCAAACCGCAGTTTTGAAGATATCAGTGTAACTCTTTTACAGTCCGGTTTCTCAAACAGGTGCGAGCGTGAACAGCGCGAGTCATATTTTATTTAATTCCGAACATTAGTAGCTGGCATCAACGAGGACCCTGGAAGACCCTCCTGGCTCTGGGAGGTAAGCCAGGAGGAAATTGGCAACAAAGATTCATAACTGGAGACCATGCTTGTTTTCTGACTGACTCGTACGTGTACAAGGTCTTTTCTTTTTTCTTTTTTTCCCTTTTTTTTTCGCTTCTCGTGCACGTACAAAATGAAGTGTTTACGCTTGCCTACAACTTGAAGGCCAGTGAAGGGAAATGAGCGAAGATGAAAGGTAAAGAGCTGACCGATCCATTAAGGAGACACTCTTTCCTTAGGCGCGGCGGCGCGGGCCCCTTCCGTCACTGCGGCGGCATCTTGGGTGGCCACACACACTTCGAGAACTGGCCAGCACAAGATGGGAACCAGATGTGGACTTACACCAACTTCTGCTTTTGTGCTCAGCGTTCTCAGTTTTTTTTTTTTTACTCGCAAATTTTTTTCAAGGCGAGAGGGACTGCGGCAGCAACCAAGTTTGAACAACTACGTTAGTCTAACTCATCCTTTGACGAAAGGGGGTCCCATCCCGAAACTGTTAAGAAATACGTATATTTATCCTTGTTGACAACGCTCTTGTTGTGGTGTTATATACCATATATATATATATATATATATATATATATATATATATAAAAGTGGGACACACACATAGTCGAACATGGATATATGGAACCTGCATATATAGAATATTCGGGTATGTAGAACTCGTGAGTTATCCCCTTTAAATTCCTTTGTAAAAGTATAGAAATTCGTATGTTTATATCGAACGGTATTTTTACCCGCCTTCGGATATATTGAACACCGAGCGAGCTTGAAGGTACGCTTCAGCACTTGCAGCGCCCGCGATTTCCGCGGCAGCGCGGGTTCGCGCGCGAGTTTGGAGGTGCACTTTGGCATTCGCAGCCCAGCGACTTCCAGGCGGCACCGTGCCTCCGCCAAAACTCGAAACGCTCGAAAAAAGAAGGTAAGGGCTAGAGGGTTCGGACTGAGCCCTCTCGCCCTTACCTTTTGAGCAGCGCTATGACATCGTTGGCAAAACCATTTTTGGTGAAAGCGAAGCTGTGAGTAGCCAGGACATCCAGCAGTGGATGACGAAGGAGTGGCCAGAAATCACCACGAAGTTTTCTGCCACGGAGATCTTCATCGCCTGGCGAGACGTGAAAACGGACACAGTTGTCAACTGCTTCCGCAAGGCAGGCTTTGAGACAGAGGAACTTGCAGAAACCGATGAAGACGACGACGACGAGGGCATAGACGCGTTTTGAGAGTCGTCATCCCGCTTCCCAGCAGCAGTTCTACACGAAATGTCTGTGGACGATTTTGTGGAAGCGGACTGCAATGTCTAGGCCATTGCGAGCCTCGCTGACAGGACATAGTAGCTGCGGTTGCAGGGACCCAGGATGCCCAGGCTGACAGCTCATGCGACGAGGAGGATCGTTCGTACGAGGCGCTGGCTACACGTGCGTCTACTGCCGCGGAAGTGGCAGCAGCGTTTGGCGTCATTCACCTTTGTATCGGCCACATGGAGGGAACTGGGCTGTTGCACCAGGACAGCCTTGATAAGATCAAGACTACCGTTTTCAACATTTCAAAAACGAAGATGCAGACCAAGATAAGCAATTTTTTTCACGCAAATAAATCATTCTGTTGCGGCGTGTGTGCGTAATCAGTTGTCATTCTTGAATGGGCCCTGTTGTAGGTGGTCGTCCGCTACAGGTAAGCTCTCGGTTCGAGGCCTGTATTTTTTATATCGAATTTTTTATATATCGAATAGTTCGCCATACCGTTCGAGTTTCATATATCTGTGTTCGACTATATATATATGTGTGTGTGTGTGTGTGTGTGTGTGTGCGCGTGTGTGTGTGTGTGTGTGTACTTAAGGGCTCGTTTTTTCGTGTTTGATACAATATTAATGCGATCTAACAGACAATAATGCCAAAGAAATTATAGGGATGTTATTGGACCGAATTGTATAGTAAACGTGAAGACAGAAAAGTGGGTGAAAAGATCACTTGCCGTGGGCATGAACCGAACCTGCGACCTTCGAATAACGCGTTCGATGCTCTGCCACTGAGCTACCACGGCGGCTACCCCCCAGCCACATTATTGGGTATATATGTGAATATCGGAGGGACTATTGATCAGCTGCCAGCTTGTAATAAGTTCACGTGCTACATGACGCCAAACAGGCTCATAAAGAGCTCATAAACACTTGCCGCCATAACTACTAGTGGCGCTTACTGACACTCCCACGTTTAAATTCACATATATACCCAATAAAGTGGCTGGGGGGATAGCCGTCGTGGTAGCTCAGTGGCAGAGCATCGAATACGTTATTCGAAGTTCGCAAGTTCGGTTCATGCCCATGGCAAGTTATAATTTCACCCACTTTTTTGTCTTCACGTTTGTTATACAATTCAGTCCAATAAATTCCCCTATACTCTCCTTGGCATTATTGTCTGTTAGATCTCATATATATATATATATATATATATATATATATATATATATACACACATACACACACACTCACACATACGGGTTATTCCATATCAAGTATAGCCATTCAATTTTTGACCATCTCTGATCACGATAAAAAAAAATCATGCAGCTATATGTGAATGTCGGCAGTATTTATTCAGCCGTTGCATTTTGCAAAAAAAAAATGTGTTGCCTATCAAACTTTGGACACCCAACTAAAACTGTGTCACACCAAATAATTTAAATAGTGTTACTGGTTTGAGTAATTAATACGAAACATTTTTTGCATTAATCTCAAGGGACTATTCTTTCATGGCTATGATAGTTTATTCATTTGTGTTTTATTTTATTTCATTTTCACTTTGCCAAAAAATTGCAATATGCTGCACGTTTATCGTCTTTTTACAAAAAGCACAAATTTTTTTGCTAGTAATATTTTCACAATTCCTGCTTTTGTGCTTTTCATTAAATGATTGAAATACTTCGGGTGCAAACAAAGGGAAAATATTGCCAAAATATAGTGGCAAAGTTGGGAAAACAGCATTTTGACTCATATTGCGGCTCAATTTTCGTAATGTAGAGGTCAAAGTAAAAATTTGCTTTTTTATATTTTTGCATAGTATACTTTGTCAGTGAGATAAGCAGAAAGTTTCAAAAGAGTATGTTTTGTTTGAAGTGTGAAAAAAATTTTCTAACTGAACAACCACAATGATGCAATGATGTCTATGTTGCGCATGATGAAATGATGTATTCTACAAGTACAAGTAGGAGAGAATTCTATATCATAGCCATAAATAACACTTAATTGGCCATTCCTGGTTCTCAGTTTAAACATTTAATCCACATTTTTTTAATAGTCCTAGTGCGTTCAAAATGTTGAAAGCACGTCACCATTACCGGACGGATTTAAGTTAAAACATTTTCAACTACTTCGCACCATAAATAATGAAGAGGGCGAAAATGGCAAAATCCCTCTGGAAATGGTGACTGAAATACAATTTATGGGCACGATATTGAATCACCTTTAACATGTTGTAGATACATCATCTCATCATGCACACCAGTGGTAAGCGATCACGCATCAGTCAATACCTGGAACATCATAATAGCAGTTTGGATTGAAAATACTTCAATTATGGGAGTAATTATTATTATGACCTATTGTAATAATTGTCAGAAGTCAAACACAACGCCTCGATACTCTATAGCAAGTCATCGTCTGCATTATAATTCTGCTGCTTGTGACTAAGGCGGTTCAATATAACCTGCCCTTTGACGGTTCAAAGGCGAAGATACTGTTCCGTAAAAAAAGCACTACTGCCCCTTTTTGACGTTCACTACAGCGGTATTACAAAAAAAAAAAAGGGACAAGGAGCTGTTTGACATGCATTATTCGCTCCCTAAAAGCCCCCGCTGGAACCTTGTGCTGACGTGCTATGCAGTGAAGGTGAAATAAAGGCAGGCTTCCTCTTAACTTGTGGTTGTTCAGATAGAAAATTTTTCTCACTCTTCAAACAAAATATACTCTTTTGAAACTTTCTGCTTATCTTACTGACAAAGTATAATATGCAACAATATAAAAGACAAACTTTTACTTTGACCTCTACATTGCGAAAATTGAGCCACAATATGTGTCAAAATGCTGTTTTCCCAACTTTGCCAGAATATTTTGGCAATATTTTTGCTTCATTTACACCCGAAGTATTTTAATAATCTAATGAATGAGCATATAAATCAGAAATTATAAAAATACCACTGGCCAAAAACATTGTGCTTTTTATAAAAAACAGTAAACATGCAGCATATTGTAATTTTTTGCCAGAGCGAAAAGGAAGGAAAATAAAACACAAATGAATAAACTATCTTAGTCATGAAAGAATTGTGCCTTGAGATTAATGAAAAAATTGCTTCTAATTATTTACTCAAATCAGTAACACTATATAAAATATTTGGCATGACACAGTTCCACTTAGGTGCCCAAAGTTTGATAGGCAACACACATTTTTTATTTTTTTGCAATATAAAGCGCCTCAGTAACAACTACTTCTTGTGTTCACATATAGCTGCACGATTTTTTCAGTATGATTGGAGATGGTCGGAAATTGAACGGGTACATTTGATATAAAATGACCCACACACATGTGTGCGTGTGTATGTATATGCGCGCATGCATACGCGCGCTAGAAATTAGGTGAGTGGGAAAGAGATGTAAAAGGGACTGTGATTTAAAACAGGCTGGAATTTGTTGGCAGGCCTGTTTCCGGCAGCTACCAAAGCAGCGACGATTGGCAGCTGATGACCTGCTTGAAACCAAGAAGCTTCAGACATTCGAGTCAGATGATGAAGCCATTCAAAAATTTCTCCTCAGGACAGGCAAGGTATGTTCTTTTTTTCATTGTAGCATTAATCTTCTTTCTGCTTTTTTTCCATTCGCTAGCATCGTTGTTCATTACTCCGCCTGACTGTTTTTTTTTTCCTGTGGATTCAGTCATGGAAACATGAAGTTAATCCAGATTGCGCCCTGAAAACAGTGATTTTAATGTTGAGGCATCAGAAAGCGCAGCAATGCTGCAGTGATCCTGTAAATGAATCAGGTATCGCATTGCATAAAAAAGTCTGTCAATGCGTGAGTGTGCAGGTCATCTTTACAGTATCACACAAGCCCTGCCTACTTGCCAAGATGGCTTGATTTGGAAAAAAGCAGAAGCACTTCACAATCAAGCACAAATATTTGTTTGGCTGATGGACTAAGGACGTAGCTTACAAGACTTCACTATACTGCAGTGCTTGTTACATCAGGCAGCCAGGGATTCGCCTTAACCCTTTAGTTGCCAAGCCCAAGCTGTACTCTCGAACAAGTTTGTACCAATATCGCAAAGAACGAGTCACACTCTTCATGCCTGATTTTTCACTCCTTCCACTGCCAAAGACGCATCGTGGTCTTTGGCAGTGGACGCATCAATTACTTTGATGCGTCTTTGGCATCGTGGTCTCTGCCAAAGACGCATCAATTACTTTTCTTGCAATTTTCAACTCTAGACAACAATCCTTTTGCTGAAAAACTGTATTCCGTGCCTTTCGCGAGTGTTTTGTACCTGGCTACAGTCATTTCATTATGCCGCTTCGCAAGTAGAATGCTGGTGGCGGGGATGCTCCAAGGAAAGGAGGTGCTTCTCAAAGCAGTTCAGAAAGCAGCATTGGTGACGACACGGAGTTTGGGGCCGAAAGCGACTCGAATGTTGTCTTTACCCTAGATATTGCTTCAGATGATGATAATGTCATGGCAGCATGCTTTGACATTGACAATACATACCATATTTACTTGCATAATGAACCCACCATTTTTTCAGGAAAGTTGACGCCAATATGGGGGGAGGGTTCATTACGCGGGAGAAAAAAAAGTCACGGGAGTTATAACAGCAAAAATTTTGCGTGACGGTTTTGCTTGTTTTGGCCCGTGAAATACATGACAAATTCTTTTTGTAGCGCAGAGCTCTTTTTGTTTCCACCCGTAACGAAAGCGCACGGATTAACGCCGAAGTGTCGTCCAGCCGCTCAGTTCTCATGCCCATGCTGCTTAACCAGCTGTGTAGCGTACCGGCAGAACGCGCCCTGCGCAGCAGGTGTCCTAACTAAGTTCACAACAACAAACCTGGCAACAAAAACGCAGTGTCATATGCCGATGCATAAACATTGCGCTAGACTTTGTGGGTGCACAATGCACCGCCGGCGCGGTGGGTGCGGTCGCGCTTCGCATGGCCTCTAAGATGGCTGGCGCGCAACGCGGTGCGTTTTTATGCCGCCTGCCTACCATTTCAGAAAGGCCATGCTGTTTTTTTTTATTTGTTTTTGTGTCGCTGTTTTTGTGTGGCGCTATAAGCAAAGAGGTTTCTCCTGTATTCGACAGATGGGGCTTTGCCGGAAAAGGCGAGACTTTCACATTTTGATTGACAGCGTTCGTGCTCACGCTGCTCGCAACTGTTTAGCATAGTTGCGAAACTATGTTTTGACTTTTATTGCTTTGTTATTTTGTGATATAATGACTTGATTTAACATTGTTTTGATCATCAAGGACACTGGCTATCATACATAAATGAAATGAACAGACGCATTAGAAAAGATTTTTTTTTTTTCTTTTTTCAAAGACCAAGGTGGGGGGGTGGGTTCATTATGCAAGTGGGTTCATCACACAAGTAAATGCGGTAAATCAACAATAACCATGAAATTTTTTGTTACGGCGAAGCAACATCTGTGTAATTTTCAGTGTGTTACTTTGTATTGCATCAAATACTACATACTTCAACTTTCAGTATGTTCTGACCCATTACCATGTCAGCATGGAGGGAAAGCTGCCCTTAAGAATGTGTTATTCTTTTTTTAATTTCTGTGCTGATTCTAAACAGAAATCAATTATGTAACATATTCTCAGAATCATTATTGCATGGAGAAAGTTATGATTACTTAGAAAATATTGTACATTTTGTACTCTTCTTGGCAGCTGAATTGGTGGTAGAAGGGTTAGTGAGGTCTTTTTTATTACGTACGCTACATACATGCAAACATATACAAATGCATGCAATGGCAGTGAAGGTTTCTTGGGACGACATGCCAACAAGTGTGGTTTCGAGGTACAGTTTCAGGAACACTTCCGTCATTCAAAAGCATCGAGGTGGTCACACCTGAATGGATATCAAAGCAGAGATAATGGCACTGAAGCCACACAAGTGCGATAACAACCATCTATCTCTGCCTTCTTCGAAGAGATGCAATCGCTGGCGACTGGCATGTGTGAAAGGCATCAGTGTGATACGTCATGACATTCTGCCATTGGTGGGTCAGCAGTATTATATGTCGCTTCTAGCTTTTGTGAGAAGAGGTAAAATAACACCAGGAAGTGCTGTTGGTACTGTGGCAAAAACTGAATAGGACAGGTGAACTGCTCATAGCGCACAGAGTTATTCAATCATATGAGTTGCGAAACTCCCAATAGCCTCCATGTATCAAAATCCAGACACGCCATTCGCCCATATGGCGGGAGTATTGGGCATGAGGAAATACCGTAATGCCACCATGCGAAGGCATCCCTGTGACGTGCGTGGTTGGATTGCTCTGCCGCCCTCCCGCACGCAGTCCGCAGCGGCTTTTGTGTCTCTTTTTTATTGTTATTCTTGTGGTGCTTCACTCAACAAGATCAGTAAAATATCGTTGGAGCTTTTCTCTGACTTTACGAAGGGCTAAATAACTGCCCCGGAAAAGCGTCATACTTCTCATATTGCCTGACTGCCGGCGTCGTCTGCTATGGCCACCAAAATGAAAACCACGGGGGCCGAGTGCGCTACTTTCTGTTAAGGGTAACAACTCATTCCATGCTGAATTGAAACAGGAAATGGGTATTAATGGTGAAGAAACTTATCTTTGCTGCAAGAAATGTACTAAACCACTCTATTTCATTCATTGTATGTTTACATCTAAAGATGGGCCGCGGTTTACATGACAAGCATGGGCAAATTTACATTTTTGTTTAGCGCACATAGCCCCACGAAGCACAGCACAAGCTAATTCCTCGCTTTGTGGGAAGCAGGACAGCATTCTCATGGCCACAGTGGTCTAGTGGCTAAGGTACTCAGCTGCTGACCCGCAGGTCACGGCATCGAATCCTGGCTGCGGCGGCTGCATTTCCGATGAAGGTGGAAATGTTGTAGGCCCGTGTGCTCAGATTTGGGTGCATGTTAAAGAACCCCAGGTGGTCGAAGTTTTCGAAGCACTCCACTACGGCGTCTATCATGATCATATGGTGGTTTTGGGATGTTAAACCCCATATATCAATCAATTCTTACGACTACAGCCTGTCTGTTATGATGGTGGGCGAACGTGAGAATCACGCACGTGTGCACCTTATTCAGACTTTAACTTTTTTCTGTGACGCGATCCTAATATTTATTGCTCTAATTTTCTACGGTGGTCACACATTGCACATTCGGTCGCCATTGATCCACACATGGGTGAAAATAAATTATGAATGATTAGTTCAATTCCAGAGATTCTAACAAGGGGTAAATCGTGATAAAAAAATGTGATCAGCCAGCCATATCATTTTGCGCCCTTTAATGAGCATACTGCGAGGTATTGCGTACCGTGATCTAAACAACGATTTCATGTTTCAGCGAAACTGCCAGTGTCCAGTTTTTTTTTTTTTTCTTTTTTTTTACAACTTTATTCATAAGCTGTGGGGTATCTCGTGCACCTCTTAGATGATGAATCCGTTTTCGAAGCTGACCCCGTTTTCGCCTGTAGATCAAAACAACATTCGGAAGAAGTGACAGTGTCTATGAACCTGTTCTGCAGCAGATGTTATTATCTATAAGCGAGGAACCCTGTGAGCTGAAGACGACAGGGGCGTTGGCAGGCATTTTTTTAGGGGCGAAGCTCCTTAGGGCGTGGGCTGTGCGTCCCCTGTAGCCTGTATGTAGCCACCTCTAGTTTAGTTCTTGCAGTGTTCACTAGATGGCGGTACTGTCCCCTGTATGTAGCCACCTCTAGTTTAGTTCTTGCAGTGTTCACTAGATGGCGGTACCGTCTCCTGTATGTAGCCACCTCTCGTTTAGTTCTTGTAGTGTTTACTAGATGGTGGTACTTGTAGCTGATGATGAAAAGATGCAAGATGTTATAAACTAGAAAGCGGTACTTGTAGTTGATGAAAGACGCGAGATCTTATAAAATAGGAATGATGTCACATATGGCGCGTGTCATTGGTTGAAGGCAATCGTTCGATTTAGTGCGGCGACGTACGCTAGGGGGAGCGTTGTAATAAAATCCGTTCGCTGTTGGCGCGCGCTCGGAGTCGCCGGATGGATAAGGCTGCACAGCGGAGAGAGCGCAAGGCGGCAGCAGCGCGCGCTCGCAGACAGAATCCCGATGTGCGAGCGCGCGAGGCAAGGGACATCGCAAGCCATCCATCGTCTAAGAACAAATAAAAGTTGATTTGTGTATATACACACACAGCGTTTCTCACGTCTTTACATGATGATCGACTGGGCGAATTACACGGAAGATTCACAGTTTACCGATGAATCCCTCTGGAGCTTCGCCCATTCATCATCATTCACCCTGTGAATATGCCGTAATTTTTTTTTTTAGTTGGGGCACCACCTTGAGTGGACATTGGCCCGGGCAGGCAGATGTGGTAGATCGTTATTTTCGGCACTATACACCGTGGGGAAAATGGGGGGGGGGGGGGGGGGGAACTGGCTTGGTGTGCCACTCCATGGCTATGCTACTGGTGGATGGAAACCTGTGTGTTCAGCTACACACATAGAGACGAACAGCCGGGGAGGAGGGAGGGAGTGGCATAGACTGGGGTTGCGTTACCTTGGCTAGACTGAAGCGGTACATGTATGATGTAAGGAAAAAGGCTTCATCCAACGTGCTGGCCGAACACACAGAAACAACTGGCCATGAAATAGACCAGTATAGTATAAAATTAATGAAAATAAAGGGAAAATAATTAAATTTCTAATCTATATCTTGACTCTATGACAATTCATACAACGACGCACATTCTTGAACGTATAATGACGACAACTTCCCTCACATGTACATATCTGTGTGCTACTTTAAAATATACATAATCGGACTGTTTACCGATTCATTTTTCATTGTAAACGAGATTCCCGCTCGGAAACTGAAATGATCTGCTTTTATGTGAGCATTCATGGTTGGTGCTCACTTTAACCCCATAGGCTTGAAGTAACAACCACAACAAAAGAGAAAGAGAAACGTGAAAGTGGCACAGACAATTGCGGTGACAGTACCCTCACGTACGTGATGCACTTTGCCACGCCGCTGGTAACATTTACTGCAACTTTTTCAATTGTGTAGTCTGCAGAAGTTCGCACACATGAAGCCAGAACAAAACAACGCTGTTCAAAAATGAAAGCACCGCAAAGCTGCAGTAAAAATAACGCATCGAATCGTCAGCCTTTCTTCGCCAGAGCGAGGCAAGATCACGTGATCCAACCATGCATGTCACAGCGATTGCAGCGCTCGCTCCTCCAGTGGTGGGCCTGGCGCCCAATAGAGATTTTCGCACACCAAACGAACTATTAAACGCATTATTTTGTGTTTTGTGTTGTTGCTCCCAGATGACTCGACAGTCTGCTGATTCCCGCAGGATCGGCCACTTGCGTGTCCAGGTTTTGGAAAGCAGTTTTATATCTGGTATGATTGAGTAGCTCTGGATAGGTACATGCTTAATGTCAAGCCTTTACGACCCCACGGCAGCAACAGAGGTGCACATCAATGGTGTCGGTCTTTGTGCGGTTCTTGTACAGTGAAAGCCTGCGTAATAAATGTTGATCTTCAGCACTCTCAGTTCGGTTTTTAGTCAGCATAAAAGTCATATTTCAGTTGTTTATATGCTGAGTGCTCCTGAGTATGTATGACACAATTTTGCTATATAATTTTGTGATAAGACATGCTTGCCTAGCATATTGGTGTGCCTAAGCATGCTAGAATCGATTTAAATAAAGCTCCCTAATATTTACTGTTTGAGATGTTTGAAATTTTAAACCTAGGTGGTGCTGCTGCGGGATCTGCGAAACTTGGGCTTCACTGGCAGCTTTCACTTAAAAAACCAGCTAGGCCAAGGAAAGGACTGTCAGCAGCAGAGTGATGCCTTGGATGCCTTAGTGCTTGAAGTTCAAGGCGCTGGTGGGGCTTTTGATGTTCTTGCCACAGAAGAAAATACATTGGTGGGCTTCTTCTACCAAGACCGTTTTATGCGCGAAGCCTACCAAAACTACCCAGAGGTAGGTTTCATATTCAGTGTGAATATCGTTTATGAGTATTCCGAATCCCTGCTGGTTGCATGCTATCCTAATGCACATTTGAAAGAGCAAACAAATACAGTTGAACCTCAATATACTTGACACTGTTGGTAAAATTGGCACATTTCTTTTTACATTAAAATTTGACCTGTTTTGCAAAGTTTAGTCAGTGATGATTCCTTTTATATATGTGGGAAAGGAACAGTAAATATGTCTAAATAATCGTGCAACCTGAGCGCTCACAACTACATTTGTGGCTCGGGGCTACAACGGCAAAGTCCGTATCACGGCGAGAACTGATTTTTTTTCGACCCAGTTTCTTCTGGCGCGGCCAGAAGCTTACCCTTCTCAGTGTTCCCAGCTGCGGTAGTTACTCCCAAAAGCACGTAGTTATTTTAGAAGCAGTATTTTAGATTTGAAAGGCTCTGAACATCGATGTGCCTTTTTGTCTAGAAATGCTGAGAATTGATAGCAATGCTGGTAGCCCTTCTAGCGACTTGTGTTTGCTGTCATTGTTCTGCTTTCGCAGAAGTTCGTGTGACTGTGCTTATTCACATTCATTCTGAGCTTTACAACAATTTTTGAAAAGTAACAAGCCATTACATTGAGACGATGTGGCTTTGTACACATTCCCTGTATTTGTACCGCGTTGCGTGTGCCTGTGCACAAGGTTGATGCGCCTGTTTCGTGGATTACTTGTCCTATCGTTGTTACTCTCTCGATACGCGAGCCAAGCCAAGTCACTCAAAATGTCATTGCGCGTCATTTCCGAGGCAAAGTGTCCGTAAAAAAACCACGATACTCCAAAATCTCAGCGACCTAAAAACTGCGTATAGCGTTTTATGAGCACGCAGAAAAGTTTTTCAAGACGCGCTACTAGCATGGGATTATTATGTCATGCAAAGGCAGCGACACTTTATTGCACACTACTAACATAGGCCTATAAGTACATTTTTATGGAGTAATATCTTGTACTATAAAGAAACAAACAATATTTTAATACTAACAAGAAAATTGTTGATTGCTTACACTAGTTTACGGTCATGTGACAGGGCACATTGGATAATTGAAGTTTCTGCCATCAGGTAGCGCCACAGGCTATTCTCGCGAATTGCAATGAAGAAATAAAAATATAACATCACTTCTCACGAGAAAAACTGGGTTGGTTTGAGTCACTACGAGGGACAATCTTTCCATCCATGCAGTCATTTCATTTCATGTTCTGGACAGTTGTTGGTCCCTTTAAAAGGGATACTGGCTCAATTAACAGTGGTAATCTGTGTGAGGGGAGCTCACTGCCATGTCTTGGCTGCATAACTTCCAGAATTGGCAAGAGTGGTATGACATGATTGTAATCTGTGCTTGCTGAACTGAACCATTGCCTTGAGCATTTCTAGCTTTGGAATAACTGTTTCATTTAACATAAGTAGTGTATTCCTTAAATGACTCTGACTGATCTTGCAACCATTCTACAGGTTGTCTTTGTGGACGTTGTATACAAGACACAGGGCAAAGGGCCTCTGTTAATTCTGGCTGTGGAGGACTCCAATGGGGAGACAGAGGTTGTGGGTTTCGCCTTGTGTGTTGCCTCGGACAACATCACTATACGGTTGGTGCTAGAGCGTTTTGTGCTCCACGTGGGTGCTGATGCAGTCGACCGGACACTGACAGTCATGACTGACCGAGAAATGGTTGAGCGGGGATTGCTTCGCGACATGTTCCCCAATGCTACCGAGGTCATCTGCTTGTACCAGGTCAGTCACTCATGCATTTTCCTGACGTACGTACGAATGTTCAAAGCACAGTCGCAGACTGGGACAACCGAGTCATATTGCACAAGCACTTGCATGTAACCTTTGTGTGTGTTCATAGCCATTACCATTACCAGTATGTCTCACTAAGGATACCAATGCTGAACATTGAAAAAGTTTCCTGATAGGTCATACTGTTTCAGCAATATTGCATCTTTTTGTGATACAAGAGCCGTGTACTACTATATCACTCATGTCATAGCACTTAGGTGAACTATAAGAAATAACTTCCTCCAAAAAGTTGCATTGATGCAGGGGCGTCTGCGTAAGCAGGCGTTTGGTGTGTAGCAACACCACGGAGCCGAGCTCACGGGGGGGGTTCTCACCAGAGAAGGATTGGCCACCCTGGTGCAGTATCTGGCCACTACCTCCTACATGCAAATGTCAATTAACTCACGGCCCTCAGGCACCAGCAGCTGCGCAGCAACTGACCACGGTGGCGGTCAGATCTGTAACGCAGCAGAGGGTGCTAAGAATCTCTGGATCCGGACAGGCCGCCATTGGAACCTGAATTTGGCAACGTTTAACGCTAGAACCTTATCTAGTGAGGCATGTCTAGCTGTACCATTCGAGGAGCTAGAGGGTGTTAAATGGGATATAATAGGGCTCAGTGAGATTAGGAGGACAGATGAGGCCTATACGGTGCTACAGAATGGGCACGTCCTTTGCTATCGGGGCTTGGCTGACAGAAGAGAACTGGGAGTGGGGTTCCTAATTCACAGAAACATAGCTGGCAACATAGAGGAATACTATAGCATTAATGGAAGGGTGGTAGGTATCGTAATTAAACTGAATAAGAGATACAAGATGAAGGTGGTACAGGCTTACGCGCCTACATCCAGCCATGATGACGCTTCAGTTGAAAGCTTCTATGAAGACGTGGAATCGGCAATGAGTAAGGTAAAAACACAGTATACTATACTGATGGGAGACTTTAATGCAAAGGTAGAGAAAAAGCAGGCTGGAGACCAAGCAGTAGGAGAGTATGGAATCGGTACTAGAAATGCCAGAGGAGAGCTACTAGTAGAATTTGCAGAACACAATAATTTACAGATTTTGAATATCTTCTACCGAAAACGAGAAAACCATATGTGGACATGGAAGAGCCGCAATGGCGAAAATAAGAACAAAATAGACTTTATAATGAGTGCACACCGAGGCATCGTGCAGGATGTGGAAGTGGTTTGCAAGGAACGATGCAGTGACCATAGAATGGTACGGTCCCGAATTCGCCTAGACTTGAAGAAGGAACGACAGAAACTGATACGCAAGAAGCCAATCAATGAGCTAGCACTGAGAGGGAAAGTACAGGAATTCAGAGACTCGCTTCAGAACAGGTACTTGGCTCTTATTGAGGAAACCAACCTTGGCGTAGATACAATGAAGGATAATCGGACGAGTATCATTACGGAGTATGCAGTGGAAGTTGGAGGCACGGTAGTTAGACAGGAGACTGGCAAGCTTTCCCAGGAAACGAAGAATCTCATTAAGAAGCCTGAAGCATGAATGTTTGAAGACAACAGACAAAATAGAACTCTCAGAGCTTTCAAAGTTGATTAGTAAGCATGAGGTATTTGATGTAAGAAGGTATGAAATGGAGATAATTGAACACGCTCTGAAAAACTGAGGAAGCGTCAAAGCAGTGAAGAGGAAACTTGGGATAGGCAAAAATTGGATGTATGCACTAAGGGACAAAGAAGGCAAAATAACTATCAATATGGATAGCATAGTTAAAATAGCAGAGGAGTTTACGGAGATCTGTACAGTAGCCAGGACAACCACGACCAAGAACTAGCAGTAACCCAGATGACACCCCACCAGTCGTGAAGAAGTCAGAAAAGCCTTGGAGAGCATGCAAAGAGGCAGAGCTGCTGGTGAGAATCAGGTAACATCAGATATGCTGAAAGATGCAGGACAGACTGTGTTAGAAAAACTTGCCACCTTGTTTACGAGGTGTCTCCTGATGGGAAGAGTACCAGAGTTTTGGAAGAATGCTAACATCATCTTAATACATAATAAAGGAGATGACAAGGACTTGAAGAATTACAGGCCTATCAGCTTGCTCTCTGTAGTATATAAGCTATTTGCAAAAGTAATTGCTAACAGAGTTAAGAAAACATTAGAATTCAATCAACCAAAGAAACAAGCAGGATTTTGAACAGGCTACTCAACAATCGACCACATTTTATACTATCAATCAGGTAATAGAGAAATGCTCAGAATATAACCAACCACTATACATAGCCTTCATAGATTACGAGAAGGCGTTTGATTCAGTAGAAATATCAGCAGTCATGCAGACACCGCTGAATCAAGGTGTCGATGAAGCATAAACATCTTGGAAGAAATCTACAGGGGATCAACTGTACCATAGTGCTTCATAAAAAAAGCAACAGATTACCAATCAAGAAGTGTGTGAGGCAGAGGGATACAATCTCCCCAATATTATTTACCATGTGCTTACAGGAGGTTTTCAAAGGCCTAGAATGGGAACAGTTAAAAATAAGAGTTAATGAAGAGTACCTTAGTAACCTGCGCTTCGCCGATGACATTGCATTGCTGAGTAACTCAGGGGACGAATTGCAACTCATGATTATGGAGTTAGACAAGGAGAGCAGAAAGGTGGGTCTTAAAATTAATCTGCAGAAAATGAAAGCACTATACAACAACCCCAGAAGAGAGCAGCGCTTTGAGATAGGTAATAGTCCACTTGAAGTTGTAAAAGACTATGTCTACTTAGGGCAGGTAATAACCGCGGAGCCGAACCACGTGATTGGAGTAACTAAAAGAATAAGATTGGGGTGGAGCACGTTTTGCAAGCACTCAAATTATGACAGGTAGATTGCCACTATCCTTCAAGAGGAAGGTATATAACAGCTGTATTCTGCCGGTACTTAGCTACAGAGCAGAAACCTGGAGACTTACAAAGAGGGTTCAGCTTAAATTGAGGACAACGCAGTGAGTAATGGAAAGAAAAATAGTAGGTGTAACCTTAAGAGACAAGAAGAGAGCAGAGTGGATTAGGGAACAAATGGGGGTTAAGGATATTATAGTTGAAATTAAGAAGAGGAAATGGACGTGGGCCGGGCATGTAGCGTGTAGACAGGACAATCACTGGTCGTTAAGGGGAACTAACTGGATTCCCAGGGAAGGCAAGAGGGTTAGGTGCAGACAGAAGGTTAGGTGGGCAGATGAGATTAAGAAGTTTGCGGGTATAAGTTGGCAGCAGCAAGCACAGGACCGAGTTAACTGGCAGTACATGGGAGAGGCCTTTGTTCTGCAGTGGACGTAGTGAGGCTGATGATGATGATGGTGAACAAGAAGAAAAAAAAGCTAAATGTGCAAAGCTATCTTCTCGAGTTGATCATTTATTTTTCCCTGCAGCCTTAGGGTTTCTTGGCATCTTAGTGTATTCAAATATTATAACCAAGCTTGTACATGGAGGTGTGTAGCCACATCAATGATTGCTCCATTCATGGACTTTGTGACCTTGACTGTGCTATTGGTTACAGTACAATTTTTTGGCAACAGGAGAAATTGTGGGGGGGGGGGGGGGTATTGCACATTTGCAGTGTGCTAGCGTTAACGTAATTAAACCATTTTTGAGATAATCCTTATGTATTCCTTCATTTTTTGTGCATTCAGTCTTCGCAACATTTCCTGTGTCCCGTTTGCAAATATTGAGAAACTTTTGTCTTGCAGTATTTTATGGCTATGTAAATCTCACATTGATGCTTAATGAGCTACTTAATTTTAAAATTCAGTACATCTGTGTGTAATGAAAAAGTTTAGTGACTTGTTTGGGTTTCAAGAAAGTCCTTGAGACCCTTCAAAATCTTTGAACCTGAAATTAATCTTCAAGTCTTCGCATAAAGGTCGTGATATTGTTTTCATTCCTTTTAAACCCTTGAAGTTCCAACCAAAAAATGAAACTTCCGATGATTTTTCTTCATTCAACATTGAATTGAGGAGGAGTTCTATGACTTCTTTTTTTTTTTTTTTTTTTTTGCCCAAAGTTGAAATACACAATCTGTGCCCATGTTTTATTCGCAAAGGTTGCTCAAGGTTTGCCAAGCATGCATTTTTTAGCTTTATGTTTCTTCTATGACTGCTGTTTAAGGAAACAAATAAATTTCACACTATTTGACTGTGGCTAAACTCTGTGGGCTTCTTCAAAGTATTTTGCTGTAGAACATCTAAAATGCTCCGACATTTGATAGCTTTGCACGTAGGCCATGCTTGGGGGGCAGGAGTTTACTGATGATGTGCTGGTAACTTTACTTGCTGCAGGTACTGCGTGCCTTTAGACGCCAGATGACTGCTGAGAAGATGGGCATAAGCCGCGAGGAGAAAGCCCGTGTGCTAGAGATCCTGCAGTGCATGTGCCATGCTCAAGATGACAATGCCTATAATGAGCTTTACCAAAAACTGGAGCACACTTGCTCAGCTACTGTGCTGGAACACTTTTCGTGCCACTGGCACGAGATTCGGTCCCAGTGGGTTCAGGGTCTTCAGGAGGTTCCTACATTAGGAAATCGTACAAACAAGCGTCTCGAATCTGTCAACCAGAAGGTGGGTTTCAAAAGTGTACTCAGGAGTTTGAAAGCAAAGCATGAGTAAGATAGACACGAAGAAACACTGCTCTACGTCACATGCACTGAATAATGACTCAAGTCAAGGCTGAATCAGAGCAAAAAGTTCCAGAAAAGAAAATGCCCAGTGTAAGATCATTCGATTGCAGTTTGACTTTGACTGAAGCGAGTCGTTTTATACTTGTTAGAAGGTGCAGTGCTATTGAGACAATGAAAAAAAAAATGGATCTCACAAGAATTACATGTATTAGTGTTTATTATGCAGATTTCTGTTTTTTTTGTGTGTCTGTGTTTCAGTCATGCCGTGCTTTTAAACGATTGTGAACTAATTTGGCCAAATGAAAAAGCTTTACTGCTTGAGTAGTGCTAAAGAACACATCACTTATGATTGGACAGTGAAAGCTCACCGATATAAACTCTGTTGATTCCAACCAAACACAATGGTATTACTGAACTACAAGAACAACATTGAACAACTTGTTATTTTATGTGCTCATCAGTTTTCTCACAGATTATCCAGAACACCTGCCACAGAATGGTTGTGTGCATGGATGGGTTTGGAGGAATTTCATGCCACCTCCTAGAATTTTGTATCCTTCACTTCTGATTACTTGCTAGCGTAGGCTGGCAAAAAAATTGTAGCTCACTCAGAGTCGCCAAGATTTTCCTCAACGAGGCTCTCTCAAACTCATACTCGCTGTACTTTTCCCCGACCGGACTCACTCGAATTCAAAATCCCCAACATATTACACCGCAGGACTCACTGAGACGAATCCGTTAGTCTGAATGAGTGTACTCATGAGTGTCCAGTGACATTCTTGAGGGGGGAGAAGTCAATCTCAGAGGGTGTGACCATCTCAGAATGTGTTAACGGGCTGCTTTTCACTTGGTTTTCGAAATGTGAGGCCACAGCGGACAGAGATACGTGGCGCCAACATCATAGGGGGTCGTCAGGAGGAGTGGCTAGAATGCAGTGGCAAGTTTCTCTGAATACACTCAAACCTCGTCATAATAAACCCAGATATAACGAAATACTGGTTATAACAAAGTAAATGAAAAATAGCCTTGCAAACGATATATTGTTAGAAATAAACCATTATAACGAATTTTTGGATATAACAAACCTATTTTCGTGTAAGATGCAACTTTGTTATAATGAGGCTTGAGTGTAATTTGTTCGAGAGTTTGTGTCGGGGAGACTAACCACTGCAGTGCATTTTGAATACGATTAGGTGAGCGCCGTAGTCTTGGATATCTGGTTGCAATGATCAAAAAACGAAGCGGGACATCGGTTTATGCCCGTTGGGGGTAATAGTCGATGTGGGTGGTTTTGCCAAAAGGGAGCATCTCGTGAATTCCTTTTCTTCTTGTTCAGAAGAAGGAGAGGGGGAATGTACACATTGTTTTTATGATTCGTTTGCAGCTGAATGGGAATGGGTACTTGGAAAGTGGGGGAGGGTTCATTGGGCATGGTGGAGTGGATGGTCGTGTGGTATAAATGCCATTTTCAACCAGACTTTGGCTCTTCTGTGAAGAAGAAGATGTGCCTGCAGCGAGCAGCATCGCCAACGCCCGGCTCTCTCTCGGCTCGTGCTTCGGTTCGTTGCTGTGCCGATCGCTGGACGGTTCTTCACGCTGTCTCGTCGCTGTCTTTAACGGCTAATAAACCTCCTCACATTTGGTGGAAGGTGCTGTTAATCCCCGTTGCTACACCCTGGAGCTGCGAAGCCGCACGCTACCACCTGTCATGACTGCCAACGCCACTACATCGACGCCTTCGCTCCAGTTCAACCGCCCTGGCCATCCTAAGCTACAGGAGCCGAAGGTCTTCAGTGGTGCGGATGGGACCGACGTCGAAGACTGGCTCGAGCACTACGAACTGGTGAGCGCCAACAATAAGTGGGATGAAGCCGACAAGCTGGGCCACGTGATATTTTATCTCACTGGCGTCGCCGAATTGTGGTTTAATAACCACAAACACAACATCCCCACATGGAGTGTCTTCAAGACGTCATGTGCTGAAGTGTTCGGTCGGCCGGCTGTCCGCAAGCAAAGGGCAGAACAGCGCTTGCGCGTCCGCTCTCAGCAGACGGGCGAGACCTTTACCAGCTATATTGAGGACGTCGTCGACCTTTGTCGACGTGTGAATGACACCATGCCCGAATCTGCAAGGTCAAAAACATCCTGAAGGGCATCGACGACGGCGCATTTCAAATGCTCTTGGCAAGGAATCCAAGCACAGTTTCTGAAATCGTCAGCTTGTGTCAGAGCTACGACGAGTTGAAGAAGCAACGCACTCTGACTAGGCAGCCTCAGCCTGGTGGTGTGTCGCTGTCCAGTTTCGACTCCATGCCCGACAATTCACCGTTGCTTCAGCAAGTCCGAGCCTTCGTCCGTGAGGAAGTCGCCCGCCAACTTTCCCTAGTGCCTTTTACTCACGAGACCACCACCCGTCTACCTGCCCCGCTTCGCACTGCTATATCGGAAGAGGTTGCACAAGCTGTTCCTCTTGAGCACTACGAGCCACCTCTATCTAGCCGTGGTCACTGCCCGGGTGTCGCACAGCCGGTAGGCGCTCCTGTCGCCTATCCGCCAGCCGTTCAGCCTGTGCCCGCGCCCCTAACCTATGCAACGCAGCCTGTGGCTCCTCCTGTCGCCTTTTCGCAAGAGATGCAACCCGTAGCCGCGCCGCTCACATATGCAGACGCTGTACATAGGCTCCCGCAACCACCCTACGCCACGCGCTCACAGCCCGCACACCTGGCTGCTTATACTGCACCTTGGGCAGCAGCACCAGTCGCCAATCCCTGGAGGACGCCCGATAACCGACCGATTTGCTACGCTTGCTTCACTCCCGGACACGTTCGGCAACTATGCCCGGTCGTCGCATCCCGGGAGCCAACCCTTCGTCCAATACGGGCCGGTCTCGACACCTCGCTATGCGCCTACTGACCACCTTGACTTCCAGCCGCAACGCGCACCCTCTCCTCGTCGGCGATCGCCCTCCCCCATGCGTCGCCGGCCCGGACCCACCGACCAGGAAAACTAAGCAACGCAGTTCAAGAGGCAAGAACTGCGCCGTTTTCGAACTGTCTAAGCCCTCGCTCCTCTCCTGCTAACATGGTCGCAGTAACTGTTAAAGGTTATTGTACTTTCGCCCTTGTGGACACTGGCGCCGCTGTTTCTGTTATTGCCGCTAATCTCTGCCGTTTATTACGCAAAGTAACGACGCCGCTTTCGGGACTGTCGCTTCTCACCGCAAGCGCACAGCAAGTAACGCCTCTCGCAGCCTGCACCGCAAGAGTCTCCATCGAAGGCATTTTTTACATCGTGGAGTTTATTATTCTTCCTGTCTGTTCGCATGACATCATCCTCGGGTGGGACTTCCTATCCCGCCATAATGCTGTCATAGACTGCGCACGCGCCGAAGTTGAGTTTTCATCCTTGTGTGATGTCCCATTACTGGACGCTCATCAGCCGCCGAAGTTGCTCGTTCATGAAGATACCGATATTCCGCCTGGAAATTTCGCCCTTGTTCCCGTTTCATGCAACGCCTACACTGACGCTACAGTTCTTTTTATGCCTTCCGATATCTTCAAATGTCGTCGAGCTTTGCCGCTGCCTTTCGCAACAAGTGACCTTGCCGCCGGAAGAAGCAACATGTTCGTAAGCAATCCGCTTTCCACACCTGTCACATTGCTTGCGGGGGAATGTCTCGGCCGCGTGTAGGATCTCGACCCTTCGTTTTTGTTTGATGTCCCGGGCGACTACTGCGACCATGCGACCACCCAAAAGCACTGTCGACACTCGGGGAGTCGTCCAATGATACGTTTTCCAGCGCCATCGCCGACACTCTCACTCCCACCGAACATGCCGACCTGCTGGATCTTCTGCATGAGTTCAGGAGTTCGTTCGATGTGTCGCAACCTCAACTGGGCCGCACATCACAAGTCAAACATCATGTTGACACTGGCCTACACCAGCCACTGCATCAAAGACCATACCGTGTCTCCGCTGAAGAGCGCCGCGTCATCAACGATCAAGTCGAAGATATGCTTCAAAGAGACGTCATTCGACCATCTCACAGTCCCTGGGCGTCTCCTGTCGTCCTGGTGCGTAAGAAAGACGGATCTATCCGATTTTACGTAGACTACCGTTGTTTGAATAAGATAACCCGCAAGGACGTATATCCTTTGCCGCGCATTGATGAGGTCATTGACACCCTTCACGGAGCGGAATTCTTCTCGTCGCTAGATTTGCGGTCTGGCTACTGGCAGGTCCCAATGGCAGAAGCCGATCGCCAAAAAACGGCATTTATTACACCAGACGGACTATATGAATTTAACGTCATGCCCTTTGGGCTTTGTAACGCGCCTGCCACGTTTGAACGTCTTATGGATAATACGCTACGTGGCCTCAAATGGAATATGTGTCTCTGTTACCTCGACGATGTCGTGGTTTTCTCCCATGACTTTCCTACGCACCTCGTTCACCTCAGGCACGTTTTGAGTTGTCTGACCAACGCTGGTCTGCAGCTTAACCTGAAAAAATGCCGCTTCGCTGCACGCGAGCTCGTCATCCTAGGCCACATCGTGTCGAAGCACGGCGTATTACCAGACCCAGCAAAACTTCGAGCAGTCGCAGAATTTCCCAAGCCGACGACCATGAAAGAACTTCGCAGTTTTGTAGGCCTATGCTCCTATTTCCGGCGCTTTGTTCGCAGTTTTGCATCTCTCATGTCACCGTTAACCCAGCTTCTTCGCGGTGACGTGAGCTTCACCTCCTGATCCCCTGCATGTGACGTTGCCTTCACTACTCTGCGCCGTCTGCTCACTTCCCCACCTATTCTTCGCCACTTCGACCCGACGGCTCCTACCGAAGTGCACACCGACGCCAGCGGCGTCGGGCTAGGCGCGGTCCTCGCTCAACGAAAGCCCGGCTATTCAGAATACGTTGTAGCCTACGCTAGCCGCACTCTGACGAAAGCCGAAACTAATTACAGCGTGACAGAAAAAGAGTGTTTGTCTCTGGTGTGGGCGCTTGGAAAGTTCCGGCCGTACTTATATGGCCGCCCGTTCGATCTAGTAACTGATCACCACGTGCTTTGCTGGCTCTCCACGTTGAAAGACCCTTCTGGCCGCCTTGCGCGATGGGCACTCTGCATCCAGGAGTACGACATTCGCGTCGTATACCGCTGCGGACGCAAACACTCTGACGCTGATGCCCTGTCCCGCTCACCTTTACCACCAGATCAGACGTGCGGAAACACTTGCCTCCAGACCTTGTCATTGCTAAATCTCGACTCGATTGCAACCGAACGTCGTGACCCGTGGATCGCCTCTCTTATCGAATATTTATCTGGCACGCCCAACCTTCCAGTATCTCGATCCCTCCGACGTCAAGCTTTCCATTTCGCCATCCGCGATCAAGTTCTTCATCGACGCAACTACGCTCCCGATGGCCGTCGGTGGTTGCTGGTCATTCCACGCACTTTACGATCGCAAGTATGCGCCTCTCTTCACCAGGATCCGCAATGCGGCCACGCCGGAGTGTTCAAAACATATGAACGCCTTCGCCATCGCTATTACTGGCGCGGCATGTACAATTTTGTACGTAAATTCGTGCAGTGCTATCCTGACTGCCAGCTACGTAAATCAACACTGCCACGTGCGACTGGCGCATTGCAGCCACTTCCATGCCCTGCCAAGCCTTTTGATCGCATCGGTGTTGACCTCTACGGTCCCCTTCCATTGACACCAGATGGTAATCGGTGGATTATAGTGGCGGTTGACCACCTGACACGCTACGCCGAAACAGCCGCTTTGCCGAGCGCTACAGCTCAGGATGTCGCCTCTTTCATTTTGCAACGCTTTATCCTTCGACATGGTACACCTCGAAAGCTCCTTAGTGACAGAGGCCGCGCTTTCCTTTCCGAGGTTGTCGAAACTCTGCTTTCGGAATGCCACGTCATTCATCGGAAAACGACAGCATACCACCCGCAGACTAACGGACTAACGGAACGGTTCAACCACACGCTAGGTGATATGCTCTCAATGTACGTGGCATCTGATCATAGCAACTGGGACCGTGTTCTCCCATACGTCACGTTCGCATATAACACCGCAATACAAACCACCACGGGATTCTCACCTTTCTTTCTTCTTTACGGACGTGAGCCTTCCTATACAATTGATACCTTACTTCCCTACCGTCCTGATGCTTCCGAGTGCCCACCTGTCTCCGATGCTTCTCGACAAGCCGAAGAGTGCCGCCAGCTCGCCCGTGTGTTCACCTCGGAAGAGCAACAACGCCAGAAAGAAACCCGTAGCCCCTCTCTTCCGGATCCCAGCTATACCCCAGGGTCTCTTGTGTGGCTTGCCATCCCATACCAAACACCGGGACTCTCCTCGAAACTTGTCCCCCTGTACGAGGGGCCTTACACCGTTTTGGAGAAAACCTCTCCTGTTAATTTCCTAATTGAACCAGTTTCTCAATCGGACGACATGCGCCGGCATGCACGTGACATCGTCCATGTTTCCCGACTGAAACCATACCATGAGCCTTTGCCTGAAACTTCTTAAGTCACCAGGGTGGCTCCTTTTGCAGCGGGGGCGATTGTGAAGAAGAAGATGTGCCTGCAGCGAGCAGCATCGCCAACGCCCGGCTCTCTCTCGGCTCGTGCTTCGGTTTGTTGCTGTGCCGATCGCTGGACGGTTCTTCACGCTGTCTCGTCGCTATCTTTAACGGCTAATAAACCTCCTCACACTTCCTTCACATTGCCAGCGTACACGTGGATCACCAAGGGGCTGTCGATACCACTAATCAAAACCTGATTAGTCTGTCAGTGTAAAATTAGCTTTTTCCGCCTTGGTGTAAATGCTACTTAAGGCCAACACCTCACAAGATCGGCCCTCTACGATAGGCTTTCGTATTTCTTTGCATCCTGTACCTTCAAATGCTAATTAGGTATCGGTAATTTCTGTCCTGTAAGGACATTTTTATGAAATATGTGACTGACAAGAGGTATATTTATCACTTCTCCTAAAAGGATTTGCGAGAAAAGAACATGTCCCCTCCCCCAACTCCGAATCTGATGAACAAACATGAAGTAGTGCATTCGTCAAATATCTGTGAAAAGACATGAGTACTAACTTTTAAGTGGATAACATGCTCATAATAATGCTTAAGATGAGTAAATATGGCCATAGGTTGGGAATTAAAGTTGGAGCTCACGGAGACTTGCTCACGAAACATGTTTTGCACTTAGGGCTCACTCAGGCTCACCAATATTCACCTCAACCGGACTTACTCGGACTCGGACTCCAAAAAATTTTCCTTAACCAAACTCACTCCAACTCATTCTCCAATATATTACTCACCTAGACTAACTCAGACTCGCAGCCCATTCTGAGTCTGAGTGAGTCAACTCACGAGTGTGTGTGCCGACCAATGTGTGCAAGGGCAGTTTATCAATATGCAGAGGTCGTCATACATCCTCTAAAAATGTAAAGGTTACTACGGAAATTGAAGTCTACAGGCCAGATTGATTTATAGTTGCTGCAATACTGGAGCAGTTACAGTTTTCTCATTGCCAAAACACCGATCCCCAGTTGTTTCCAGCAGCTCGTGATTCAGCAACGCAGTCGTATAAACACTGGGTAAAAGTATTCTTGAAATACTTATGGTAGGCAGGCACTTGTTTCTGTCAAACTTAATGGTGCTTATAACGGAAGTGAATTTTTTTTAGCTCACATTACTTCATTGGGCTTACTCATGAGACCTTAGCAATGCCAAAATCAGCTTGAGATACTTGTTTTTCAGGGGGTTCAGGGCAATGTAAACTGTTTTTGTGTTTGTTATAGGGATAAATGAACAAAATTTGACACGTACATGTGGTTTGTTAGACTGATATCATAACTGAACTTGGCTTTGACTGTGAAAATGGAATGCTTCGCTGAAAGCCGGTAAGATTTGTTTGTGGGCAAGTTGGTTGACATCTTGGGAATACAGGGTTGTGCAGCCAGGAAAATATTGACATGCAAAAAAAAAGATGGGAAGCAATGGGTGCTTGACCTTTCACATATCTTTGTTTTTGTTTTAGTGCCACCCTTTATTGGCGAGGTTCAAGAAAATGGTAGGTGGTAAAGGTGACATTATGTTTATACACTGCCCATTGCAAGTAGGTACTAAATGCCTGTAAAATGGACACAAGGAAAGAAAACACTTGTCTATAAATCATTGGGGGAAATAAATATTGAACATCATTACACATCTTCGTATATATGATGAGGTCAAAGAAATTTAGTTTATCAAAATCATTTTCGTTAATGCTTGTTTACAAAAATTGTTTTTGAGGTTAGGTAGCGGAAGGGGGACACCTTTTGCCTTGGGTCTTGGTTGCTTTTCTTTTTCATATACAAAAAATGAAAAAGCTTCATGAGCCATTTTGATATGCTTTCAGATCCTTGACGGATAAACTAACTGTCATTCGTTATATTCATCCTATTAACCACACAGGTGGCACACATTGTGAGCAAGCACGAACTTCTGGACCAGCTATTCCATGCACTCAAATGCTTTGCAACGTGCCTGAGGATTGAACGTGACCAGCGAGCCATGCAAACTATCCTGAAGATCGCTGCACCGCCCAACATGTCTGAGGATGAGCACAAGTACGGTGTGCAAAATGTTTTAGGTAGCAACTAATGGTGATTTCTACTGGACATTCAGTTGCAGTGTGTCCATTGTAAGCATTGTGAGAGCATTCTTGCTGTGGTTCACTCAACTATTGACCACGCTGCTAGCAATGGTGCGAGCTTTAACAGGAACATGTTTGGCACAATTCCAATTGCTTGCCTAATAGAAAGCTTCATAAGTTGTTTTTTTTTTTTCAAACTTTCTGCTCGCATTAAGCAGCTTGTAAGCTTTTCGCAATGTTCATATGTGAACACTGCAATCACATTGAATTCTTTTAATTTCTACGTTCTGATCATTATCTGTCATTTTTGCCTGTCACCACTTCACAGCAGGTTCACAGCAGAACAGAGATTGCTTGGTTAGCTGAAGTTTTCGTCGATGCTTGTCTCAGGTGGCATTATCAAATGGCAGGTGATGCTTCCTTATTAAAACATATTAAGTTGTATGGTTTTCTGTGCCAAGACTCCTACTATATGATTTCGAGGCACATCCAGAGTAGGGGTGTGCCTCATAATACGTACTACCTGTGAAGGTCCCCTAAACCACCCAGAGTCAAAAGTTTGTTGTGGCGTTGTAGTTGCGCACGAGTCTAGATTGAATACGTAGAAGGGAGAATTTTTCGAAACGGTGCCTTAATAGAAGAGTAGCACGTGTTTGATGATACAAAAGAAGCCCCTTGTCATTTTGCTCTTTCCTTCGCTTCTCTGCATTCGTCAGCTCGTCATTCCTGTGGCCCAAGTGGCCCCCTCACCAAGTGAGGAGAAAGATCGGCGAGCGCATGTAGCTGCGGGCAGACGAAGAGGTTTTGTGGATGAAGAGCAGACAGAAATGTTGACTTCACGGGAAACATACGTACCGACAGGCCCAGAAAGGAGAATAGATTGTTTCTTGACATTTGTGTGGTGCTCGTAGTGCTGCCCCATTTGATATTTTTGATCATGACAGCATTATGATTTCAATGTGCACTTTCTCTTAAAATGTTAAAAAATTATCGGAGGTGGTTTAGGGGCTGTTTGTGGGCACTATATTTTTCTAAGGGCATGGCTGTTCTGCATTTTACCCCCATGAAAATGCAGCCACTATGGCCAGGAAATGAGCCTGCGCCCTTGAGCTTAGCACCACAACTTCTTAATTGATAAGCTGCCATAGCAAGTATGTTTTGTAGTCTGGAAAAATATTCCCGTTTTTGTACTTTAATTTTACAACTACGGCATCTGTTATAGTATATAAAATGTTGTGGTACAGCTCTTGCTACTAAGGCACTAGAAATAGCAAGGCCCCTAAGAGAGTATATGCATTATATTGTCACGGGGTCATGGCGTGGTTGAAGGCAGGAGGCTAGATGATCAGATGAAACTGTTTATTTGGGTGAACCTGTGCCCGGTAAACGAAAAATGGGTTACAGTAGCACACTTGCATTGATAGCAACAAATGCAGCGCCGGCCGTTGATCAACTGACAAGCGGCGAAGCGTGTCAGTATTTATACCCTTGCCATCGAATATTCTAGCATCATTGCTAGCAGCGACGTAGGTTCCAGAATAATCTGTGATGTTCCCGAAGTGAACGTAATCATAACAAAAACTAAAGCCTCAAAGCTTCTCGAACATCGTAGGTGAGGTTTGCGCTGAATGTAGTGTGACGGGGTGATAACAAAACTTGAGGAAAGGAATATGGCATAGTCCCCCTTTGAAAAAGGCATCGTCTCAATGCTTTAACAAAAGGCAAAGGTACAATAATAAAAATAATAAACAATAAGTACAGCAACAACAACAAAATACAGTCCCCAGGTTCGCGCATCGAATGGCTTAAGACGCACGACATGGACGACTTCAAATCAAGCACGGCGCCGTTGAAAGTTCGTAATGCCGTCGGGAACAACCTCGCAGTCCAATGGGCCGAGACGTCGAACTACTCTGTACGGTCCGAAGTACAGTCACAAAAGTTTTTCACTGAGCCCACATCGGCGTTCATACCGAGACACGGTCCCCGGGCTGGTACTCAGCAAAGCTTCATCGAAGATTGTAATGGCGGCTCTCAGTCGCCTGCTCATTCTTGATGCGCAGGCGGGCGAGTTGACGAGCTTCTTCCGCACGCTGAAGGTAGGCGGTGATGTTGAGGTTCTCTTCGTCAACGACGTTTGGAAGTATAGCGTCGAGCATCGTTGCCGGGCTCCTTCCATAGACGAACTTGTACAGCGTCATCTGCATCGTTTCTTGGACGGCCGTATTTTACGAAAAGGTCACGTACGGAAGGATTTCATCCCACGTCTTGTGCTCAGCATCGATGTACATAGGCAGTATATCAGCGATTGTCTTATTAAGACGTTCGGTGAGGCCGTTGGTCTGTGGATGGTAGGCGGTGGTGCAGCGGTGACTTGTCTGGCTGTACCTCAGGATAGCCTGAGTTAGGTCCGCCGTAAAGGCTGTACCTCTATCAGTAATGAGGACCTGTGGAGCTCCGTGTTGCAAAACAATGTTATCGATGAAGAACCTTGCTACCTCGGAGGCACTGCCTTTAGGGAGGGCCTTTGTTTTGGCGTAGCGTGTGAAGTAGTCAGTAGCTACACCGATTCATTTGCTCCCGGAATTCGACGTCGGGAACAGCCCGAGTAAGTCCATGCCGATTTGCTGGAACGGCCGGCGAGGTGGCTTCATGGGCTAGAGAAGTCCGGCTGGCCTAGTCGGTAGTGTCTTTCGTTGTTTACAGTCGCAGCTGGTCCAGACAAAGCGAGTGTCGCCGGCGGAAAGTTGTGGCTAGTAGTACTTTTCCTGTAGTCTTGCGAGCGTACGGGAAACACCGAGGTGTCCAGCCGTCAGGTCGTCGTATAGGGCCTTGAGTACTTCTGGTCTCACTGCTGAAGGAACCACCAGCAGGTAGTCGGCTGGAATGGGCGAGAAGTTCTTCTTTAAGAGGACTTCATTTTGAAAGAGTAACGAATCCAGTCCTTTCTTCAAAACATTCGGAACAATCGTGCTGATACCCTCGAGGTATTCCACAAAGCATCTGACTTTCGGGTCAGCTTGCTGTTGCTCGGCGAAGTCGTCGGCAGTTATTGTTCCTAAACAGCTGTTCTCATCCAGGCCGTCGGGCAACAGTGGTTCGATGGGGGCATGAGACAAGCAGCTGGCGTCAGAGTGTGTTCTTTCAGACTTGTAAACGACGGTCACGTGGAATTCTTGAAGTCGGAGGCTCCATCGTGCGAGGCGACCCAAAGGGTCTTTTAAGTTAGCTAGCCAACACAAGGCGTGGTGGTCGCTCACAACTTTGAAAGGCCTGCCATAGAGGTAGGGGCGAAACTTTGATGCTGCCCAGATGATGGCAAGGCACTCTTTTTCTGTTGTGGAATAGTTGGCCTTGGCCTTGGATAGCGACGGGCTAGCATAACTGATGACCTTCTCCACGCTGCCAGTCCTTTGCACAAGGACGGCGCCGAGTCCTACGCTGCTTGCGCCGGTGTGTACTTCTGTTTCGACGTATTCGCCAGAATGCGCAAGTATCAGTGGTGTTTGGAGGTGTCGTTTAAGTTCCTGAAACGCTTCCTTTTGTGCTGCTTCCCACCTGAATTCAACGTCGCTTTTCGTGAGGTGAGTTAGCGGCTCGGCGGTCTGTGAAAAACGTTTGACAAAATGCCTGTAATAGGCACATTATCTAAGAAATCGGCGTACAGCCTTCTTGTCAGTGGGCTGCGGGAAATCAGCGATGGCGGGTGTTTTCCGCGGGTGGGGATGGACTCCGAACTTGCTTATCATGTTTCCCATGAACAACAGCTCTTCATACACGAAGCGGCACTTTTCTAGCTTCAGAGTTAGTCCAGATGTGTTGATAACTTGAAGTACCGCTTCAAGGCGCCGGAGATGCTCGTCAAAGCTGGAGGAAAACATGACGACCTCATTCAAATACACGAGGCAAGTCTTTCATTTTAATCCAGCCAGCATGGTGTCCATAACGCGCTGAAACGTCACAGGCAAAGAGCAAATGGCATGACCTTCAACTCGAAGAGGCCGTCTAGTGTGATAAAGGCCGTCTTCTCTCGATCTCTCGTCAACCTCAATTGCAATAGCCCGTTTTGAGGTCCATCGAAGAAAAGTTTTTCGTGTTGTGGAGACGGTTCAGTGCGTCTATGCGTGGGAGAGGGTACATGTCCTTCCTTGTGATTTTGTTCAGGCGGCGGTAATTGACGCAAAAACGTAGGGTCCTGTCCTTCTTCTTCACTAATACCACGGGTGACGGCCACGGACTCTTGGATGGCACGTGAATGATGTCGTCGCGTAGCAATTTGTCGACTTGTTTTTTCACGGTGTTGTGTTCATGCGTCAAGACACGGTACGGGCTTTGTCGAACTGGTCAGGCACTTTCTTCTGTTATGATGCAATGTTTTCGCAACTGCGGTTTGTCGAATTCGTGATGATGACCAGAAGCAGTTTTTGAATTACAAGAGCAGGGGCTTGCTTGCACTTCAAAAAGCTCGGGTTGACATTGAAATCTGGTTCCGCCTCTTGATTCGTCGAAGCAGCATCGGCAGCATTGAAGAGGGCGAATGAATTGCTGGCCTGCACGAATCCATCAATGTGGCCGACCGCTGTACCACGATTGAGGGGGCGATATTCGGGACTGAAGTTTGTCAGTGCCACCTTTGCTTTGCCGTCACGCAGCTAAGCTATGCCTCTTGCGACGCAAATTTGATGGTTCAGAAGAAGGTGCTGATCGCCCTCAACGGCACCTTCAAAGTTTTCGACTTTTTCGCTGCCAATGGAAACGATGACACTGGAGAAAGGCGGCACGGTGACCTGCCGTTCTAGCACATGCAATGCGTAATTCCTTGCAGTTGTAGTGGTCGGCAGCGTGTTTTCCGAGGTTAGTGTGATTGACTCAAACCTCAGATCGATGATGGCGCTGCATTGACTTAGAAAGTCCATTCCAAGCATCACATCCCTGGAGCAATTTTGTAAGATTACAAAGCTCGCAGGATAAGTC